AGGGAGTAGCAGTTGCCCTGCTTTGCTACACAGGGAGGTGGAGACGGTATTTTGGGGGAGAGACAGCCACTCCTTGAACGAGATGTGGTACAGACATCTGCAGGGTTAGCTACTCACCTGTAAAAGCTGAGAAATGGCAGTGACCACACACATATTGGTGTTCACTAAATACTTGTTGACTGGGGACTGTTATTTGGAGCTTTTGTAAGCTTTTGTGTATGAGGCAGAAACCACCTGGGAGGAAGAAGGAGGTGGCACTTAGAGGGTGGTGAGCAAGTTGATCATATTTTCATAACCCCACATTGAAGTGATTGTTCTGACAACAGATTTTTAAAAATAATATGTGATCTTAATTATCTGAAAAATCTTACGAATATTAAAATAATGTACCATGGATTAGACATTTAGCCAATCTCCTTTTTAGAAAAGAACAAGAAATTCAAACTGTCATGGCAAATCCAGGGTGCCAGGTTCTGTGGGGCTTGGCATTGCCCCTCTGCAAGCCCCAGAGTGAACAGTGATCTCATCTGGCTTCCTGGGGAGCCAGAACCGGGCCGGCACTCCCAGCACAGCCCTGAGCTGCTTCAGTAGGAACCTTCCCTCCGCTTCCTCCCGCAGGCACAAGCTCTGGCCTGATGGAGAAGCTCCTCCCTGAGCCTTCTCATGGGATGCCCCTTGGAGCCCAACAACCTGTGTGGCCCAGAGGCAGGAGGCAAAAAGGAAGGCACGGGCTGGAGCTGCAGCCAGGGAGCCCGGGACTGCCAGGTTTCCTCAGGCCTCCCGAGAAAACGCCAGCAGAGAAACGCCAGGAAGGCCCTGTATTTTATCCGTTCTCAGGTGCACATCCTCCACCCCCATTTGTGTCTCAGAATTCAGAATGCATTCGACAATGGACGGCATCTTCGAGCTGTATTGGGGTTTGATGGCATTTTTTTTCTTTCCCAGTGGTACATGAAATGATGGTGCATCTCATTCGATTTTGTCTTAGAGCCTATGAAATGTGATGATTAGTATTACAGTCACAGGGTATAGGAGCTGGGCCAGGAGAGCTGGATCTTCCAGGCCAGCTGCTACCCCTTTCCAAGGGTCGCTTAGGTTTGTCCTACAGCCAGGGCCCAGGGACAGGCTTTGCCTTTTCTTTCCTTTACTTCCTCCCAAGGGTTTGGTTGTTGCATCTTGGAACCCTTCCCCCTTCATCCAGTGGCGCCCCCGACCACTCCAACTTTCAAGGATGGCCATAGGAAGCAGCATGTGGTAGCAGCAGGACCTCAGGAGGATCTGTGACCCTAGTGGGCTGCATTTGGACAGCACCAATCACTTCATCTCTCTGAGCCTCAGGCTTGTTGTCTGATTGCTTGTTTCATTTAATTCTTTTGCTTGAATTTTTCTTTTAATAGATGGGTCTCGCTCTGTCGCCTAGGCTAGAGTGAGGTGGTGTGATCATAGCCCACTGCAACCTAGAACTCTTGGGCTCACATGATCCTCCTGGGTCAGCCTCCTGAGTAGCTGAGACTAGAGGTGTGGGTCACCACGCCTGGCTAATTTTTGGATTTTTTGTAGAGACAAGGGTCTTGCTATGTTGCCCAGGCTTGTTTCGAACTCCTGGCCTCAACTGATCCTTCTACCTTGATCTCCCAAAGTGCTGCGATTACACGCGTGAGCCACCATGCCTGGCCACTTGGTTTGATTTTTAAAGTTAACATTCTTGAGGGCTTACTTGTGCTAGGCATACGTGCATCATTTTACTTAATCCTCACAACAATTATTACTATCCCTATTTTGCAGATGGTAAAACTGAGGCTCAGGAAAGCCAAATAATCCGGTGAAGGCCCCAAAGCTAGTAAGTGGTAGAGTTGGGACTTGAACCCAGGTTTTCTGGTCTTCAGCCCATCTGTTACATCAGCTCCTCTCATCTGGAAGGGTGAATGTGCTGATGTCCTAATTCCTGCTCAGCTTGATATATGGGGAGAGCCAGCTGGGCAGCCCCTGCTTACGAGAGATGGCAGCCCCAAGAAGGCACAGTGCTGAGGACATGGAAGGGACCAGGGCTGGTGCTGGGGATTAGAAGACAGCCTTGTACCAAGATGCTAATAGGGTTTACAGGCATTTAGGCATTTTTCATGTTTTCCTATTTTTTTCTGTAATGTAAATATACTACATATGTATCAGCAAAAAGCAATAAGAACAATCAAGAATAAATGCTAAATTAGAAAATTAAATACAGGAGGCTTTTTTGCAGCCCTGGGTGCAGGGACTCGGCCTTGCCCTGTGAGTGACCAGCACTCAGGGGAATGGGTGCCCACCTCCAACCCCATCCGACCCATAGTACTCACATTTGCCATCGAGTTGTGCTCATAATTTTAAGTCCTGGTTTACATCATCCCTCCTCTGAGAAGCTCTCTGTGAACACCCCAGGCATGCACACGTGTGCGTGTGCTCTCTGATTTCCAAACGTCAGCTGTAGTGGACGCTGTGGTGTGCCCCCCGAGATCCCCTGCAGGACTGTAGCCCTCATCCCCAACTCCCGGGAGTGCTGGCAACCGACCATCCATGGTGATTGCCCACTGAGGAAGACAGAGGCCTCTTTCAAGGTCACACCATTTCCCTGGGCCAGCCACAAGCTATGACATCTATGAGAGGGGATTAAAGGCCTGACTCTGTTTCCCTCATTTAGGCCCGACCAGGAGAGGGACTAAGGAGGTGGGGGGCAGGGCAGATAGCAGGATGGGGGCAGCGAGTGTGCCTTGCAAGTCTCCAGGCCCCGACCGTGCTTTTTGCCCAGCAGGTTCAATAGATGCTGATTGAGTCAATTAATGTCAGAAGCAGCCCGGGGTGCTTGATCAATACGTAAGTGCAGGTCTCCTGCTGTGTGCTCCAAATGGGAAAAGGGACTAGTTGGCTTTGCAGAATATGGCATCAATATGACACGTGCTTCATTACCTCGGAACTGGAAGACTTGCTGCATGGTGGCATTCCGTGTCACCCCACGTGAAATTAGGCACTTTGCTTTCCCCCAAGACTCCAGAGTGGTGGTGCTGGGTCTGACACATCCAGTCCGCCAGCTCTCGGCAGGGGACTAGGGATGAGGAGTAGAGGTAGACAGACCCTTGTCCACCGTCCCCTCTGACCCGTTGCAGTAGGTATGCCCTGCTCACTGATTAGGACATGGCACCGCCTGAGTGACATAAACTGATGGTTTTCAATTTTGGGTAGCAAAGCACCTGGAAATCACGGTGCTTTGTACGGAATGCCTTGGAATGCTGATAAATTTAATTCTATTGTGTGAAATAGGAACACTTTTGTTAGCAGAAAAGCCAACTATATTACACATGCATTATGTTTCAATCACAACCAAAACACAGGCTGTCAAGCTCATCTATGTCCAATGCCTCCTGAGTGTGCTGCCGAGCCCCTCAGCTCCCTCTTCTCCCTGAGTATGCTGCCACCAGCCTCCCAGAGCCCCAGGCAGAAGTCCCAGAGTTGTCCTTCACTCCTTCTCTCTCTGCTCGCCCATCCCCCTCCCACCCCACATCGACCCAATGAACAAGTACCATGGCGTTGACTTCCAAGCTGGCTCCTGGTTCTGGACACGCCTCTCCATCCCCATCCCCACTGTCTGTTCATTCAGGCGACAGTCGTGTCTTACCTAAATCACAGCCATAACCTCACTCCCCTCTGAGCGCTCTTCTGTACCACGGCAGCCGGTGACCTTTCTGGAACACCAGTCCAGTGGGCTCATTCCTCTGCACCCAACCTTTCAGGGGCTCCCAAGCTGACAAGACCCACTAGGACCTGTGCATGTCCCTCCAGTTTCGTTCTCCTCAACCTCCCTGCCATGCCCTACATTTTTTGCCAAACAGAGTCATTTTGCTGTTTGGGACCCCGTTGTGTTCTGTCTGGCTGGAACACCTCCCCGGACTCAGGCACCTGGCTAACTCCTCCTACTGATGACACCTCTTTCAGGAAGTCTGCCCCCCAGGGTGAGACGCCCATTCCTCTTATTGCATGTGTCTTGCCAAACCACGTCATCTCTTACTCGGATTCCTGCCACGGTCTCCCAGCCTGTGTCCTGCTTCCACTCTGGGCCCCTCCCATTCAATCTGTACACCGCAGTCAGAATCATCTATTCCAAGGTCTCTGAAGTATAAAAAAGAAAGGAGTGTGGGGAGAGTGTATCTGATCGTGTGGTTCCTGCTGCCCTTAGGATCAAGTGTAAACTCCCAGCACGACTTTTAAGGCCCTCTATGATCTTGCGTATTGCATCCTTCCCAGGTTCAACTGTTGCCAAGCCCTTCTGTGTCAGCTATCCCGGGTCTCTTTCAAGCCCTCCACCGGGGCCCCTGCCCTCTAGCTCTGTGCTCTGCGTGTGCTGCTTCCCGTGTGCAGACCCTTCCCCTTAACTCCCCAGTCTCTACCCGGCTGATTCCTGTGCAATTCTCTGCCTCCTCTGGAAGGCCCTCCTGAATATCTAAACTAGGTTGTGCTTCTCTCCCCATCCCATTTCCTAGGCCCTACCACCCGTAGATTTAATGGCTTGATTAATTAAATTGCCTGTTGTTTCTTCTAGAATGTGAGCTGCAGAACCATGTATATTTTGTTTCTGCCTGTGTTTCTGGCACTATGTAGAACTGGGCTTAATAAATATTTATAGAAGCAAGAATGGATGAATGCCTATTTCTGTTCCTACCACTGGAAGGTGGAAAGCCCGAGCTAACTTATCTCGAGTACATGGTGCCTGGCATGTACTTAAGTGTTCGTTGAAAACGAATGAATGACTGATCAGCGCTGTTCAAGCTCATTTTATAGTTTAAAAAAATTATACTTGCTCATTTTTTTCTACCATCTGTAAGAACTTGCCAGCAAAAGAGTGGCAGGAGGCCCAAAATTTTAAGAAAACTGTTGGCTGCAAAACTTAAAATAGTGCCAGGGGTTGGTTTTCGCCCCAGAGCCCTCGGTGGGAGACCCTCCGCTCACACCCTGTGTCCGTTTTTCCTGGCCAGAGCCTGGCCACCCTGTGGCTCCGCCGCCCCGATGGATCCACTGAATCTGTCCTGGTACGATGATGACCTGGAGAGGCAGAACTGGAGCCGGCCCTTCAATGGGTCGGAAGGGAAGGCGGACAGGCCCCACTACAACTACTACGCCACGCTGCTCACACTGCTCATCGTCGTCATCGTCTTCGGCAACGTGCTGGTGTGCATGGCTGTGTCCCGCGAGAAGGCGCTGCAGACCACCACCAACTACCTGATCGTCAGCCTCGCGGTGGCCGACCTCCTCGTGGCCACGCTGGTCATGCCCTGGGTTGTCTACCTGGAGGTAGGTCGGGGCCCCGCCTTGCTCTGGCGCCTTCTCCAGGAGGGTCCTGCCCTGGAGCCCGGACTCCGGCTCCCCACTGGTCTCCACCAACAGGCTGCCTGGTGCTTCCCCAGGTGGGCTCTTCCTCGCTCTGGGCTCACTTTTTTTCCTTAAAAGATGGGCAGATTGTCTCCTTAATAATCACAACTACCATTTATAAAGTGCTTAACAAGTGCGAGGCCTTGAGCTAAGGCCTTTTTATGCAGCATTTTCTTGTAGAATTCTCACAGCAGCTCAGAGGCTGGTGTTATTATCACCGTTTTGCAGATGATAAACCAGGTGGTCAGAGAAGTTAGGTGACTTCTCCAGCATCACACAGCTGATGGGTCCAAACTGGAACCCTGTCTGGTCCCAGAGTTGTTCATTAGGTCATGTTAGAAATGGGAGTACTGGTCAGCCTCCCCAAGGAGGGGCATGTTTGTGCTCCCAGGCCCGAAACCTTCATTCCTCTCTCCCACTTCAGAAATGGGGCTGCTACTCTATGCTCCTCCAACCCCCTCCTCTCCCCAGTTTGTGCTGGTGCTGTGTCGTGTCCAGGACCTCAGGGTAGAGGCTGCCGTGAACTGTGCTGTGGCCATGTAGTTACCCATTGCTCAGCCCAGGACAGAGCCCGGCTCTGCACCTCGAATGGGGAGGAGGCGGCCCCTGCTACGGTGCAGACACGTGCTGCACACACAGAGCCGGCAAATGCTCCCAGTAATCCTGGGAGTTGGTACCACTCTTCTCACTTCCCAAATAGGAAACAGAGGCTTTGGAGTTGCCTTTTTTCCCCCAGGACACAGCAAAGGGAGAAACTGTGATGGAGAAACCCTGAGCGGGAACACCCTGCGGGGCTGGCAGGCAGCTGTGGGAAGGTCTAGAGAATGTCGGTGGGCACAAGCTAGATCCCGCCCCTTTCTCTGCCCGGGATTTTGGGGTGGCCTGTTCGGGGCTCAAGCCAGCCTGGGAGGCTGGGGGCACAGGCAGCTGATCAGGCATTCAGTAAAGGACCAGCACTCAGCTCACGGAGCCATTACCTTCCTGCCCTGGGCAAGACACGCCAGCCCCTGCCTGGGGGAAAGGGCTTCCATTGCTGAAAGAAAATACAGACCCTTTGGTGAGGAGGGCGGCTGGTTGAGAGTGGCACACCTCCCTGTCCCCAGGCCCCAGCCTCCTGCTGTCACCACCGCACTGGTCCACAGGGAGTGCTGGCCCATCACCCCTTGGATTTATTTACCACGGTCAAAACAGGCTGCAACTTTCAAAATGACCCGACTGGTTATTAAGGAAGAATCAAAAAGAAACACAATAAATATAAAACAACACAAAAACACAGGTGACACAGGCCAGGGGTCCACTTCCTCCATGGCTGACATGTTTACGGGGCCCCCAGACTTTATCCATCTCATGTCCTATTGAGGGCCTCATCCCGGGAGCCCTTTCTTAATTCTTAGGCTCCATCCCTTCCTGCTCCCTTGCAAAGGAGTGTCCTGGACCTCAGGCCATCGGGAGAAAACGGTAGAGCAGACAACCTGTCTGGATGATAACAGTACCTACCTCATAGCATCGCTTGAGAATCAAATGAGTTAATACAAGAAAAGTGCTTAGCACGGAACCGGGCCCACAGTGAGCTCTATGTAATGTCAGCCATGGCAGTGATGATGCAGATGAAGATGACGAGAGATATCCAGCACCCCTCCCGGTAGAGAGGACTCTCCCCTTCCTCTCCACCCCTCCCCATGCCCAGGTGAAGAGGCACTCTCTTCTCAGAGGGAGGGATGTCCTGCCCCGGGCTCTGGGCATGGGTTCTCTTGGCTTCCAGACCCCCACCTCTACCCAGACCCCAGGGTAGGACAAATCTGTACATGGCTATATTGGGTTCCCAGGAATCTGCAAGTCCTTCAAATAGCTATTTTAAACATACTTGTTCACCATTGTTTTAAAGGTGAGGCTGAGTGTTTTGGGGGGCAGGGTGCAGCAGACATGCGCACAGGGCAGTGCTCAGCTGTCCCGTAGGATCTCATCCAAACTGGAGCTGGGAACGAACCCCGCTTAGAGGACATATCTCAGCTGTTCACTGCCTCTAGAGAATGTCCCCATTGGAGTCTCACCCTACCCTCAAGTCCTGTCAACATATCCTCACAACCACACACTGTTCTCTCTCCAAGCAGTGCTCTTTGTCATCCAGAATTTTCCATCCTGTTCCATTTCCAGCAATGCGAAAATGCCCCCGATAGTCTGCCATGCCGTCACCTGCCTAGCTCGGGACTAGGTGTGCGTTATTTATCCTGCTCGGTACATGGGAAGCACGCTGGTTTTGCAGTGAGAGGACTGGGTTCAATGCCCGACTCTAGCCCTTTCCACCCAGATAGCCATGGGTGGAGTTCCTGAGAGGTGACAGCCAGGGGCCACTGGTCTGCATTCTATGGAGGCCTGGCAACCCTGTGGGGTGAGGCTTCCTGTGTGCATTTATTTTCTAGATAAGACGAGATTGAGAAGATGAACAAGGGTCTCAGAGTTAGTTATCCATTCACTCAGTCAACATGTACTGAGCATTCTCTGTCCTGCCCCCCTCCTGGGGTTGCAGGCTGGGGCACCGGCCTGCCGTCCATGGAGAGAAGACACTGGAGCAGTCCCCATAGGATGTATGGGGCATGGGCCCAGTCTGGGGGTGTCAGGATGGCTTGCAGGGCGAAGTGAGCTTTAGGAGGAGTTCTCCAGGGGAGGGAGGATACACGTGCATTCTAGGCAAAGCCACCCAGCAGGAAGAGCGGGTAGCTGGCTGGAGGTGTCCAGGAGAGGCAGTCATGTCATTTGTCTCTGAGGTTTACTGTTGTCATTCCATAGAAATGAGCACGAAGTGCCTGGAACAGTGCCTGACACGTGGTGAGTGTTTAGTATTATGAAAGTGGTTATCGGGATTTAGCTGAGCCACCACAGGCTCACTGGCTTCACATGAGCAAGAATATCGATGAATGAATCATGCCCACAGGTGCGGGGAAAAGAGCCCAGGGAATGACTGGAAAACCAGGGCCAGTCCATCCTCTGCTGCTAAATCACCAAACGATCTTGGGGACATCTGTTTTCTTCTCTGACCCCAAGTTTGTCCCTTGAAATGATAGTCTCTCCTTTTCATGTCTTATGTATACCAAGTACTTTCCACAAAATTACGACAAGCTAGAAGGTCGCTTCTAAGACAGCTTAGGAAAGAGCATGGGATATGATGCCCAGATAACCTGGTTCGAATTCCAGACCTGCTGCACACTTGCTGGGTGACCTTGGCCATGCTACGTGGCCTCTCTGGGCTTCAGTTCCCTCATCTGTGAATGGGGATAAGTAATACTTCTTGTAAGAGTTTTAAGTACAATAGATGAGATAAAGTTCAGTGTCCACAGTAGGTATTTTATAAATAGTGGCTACCAACACATTCTCTTGAGTCCACTCTCCAGAGCAGCTGCCCCCGGGACCACAGAGCAAACCCTACCTTCTGCTGGGCTACACACAGGCCGTTGGGGTGTCTAAGATTCCCCTGAATGCAGGGACTGTGAACTGCTCACAACTGTATCCAGAAGTCTAGGATAGAGCGTGGCGTAGTAAGTTGCTCAGTGTTTGCAGGAAAGAAGGACGGCAGGGAAGAGGGAAGGAGGATGGGGAGGAGGGCCCTGATATCTCAGACCTAGATCCCCAAGGGCGTGAAAGCAGCTCCCAAGAACCTGTCTTAGGAGGGGCTACAGGGTGGGGTGTGAGCCAGATGGGCCTGGGTGCTGCCCAGTGGTGCCCTAAAGGTAGACTCTGTCCACTCCAGGGAAGCCCCTTCTGTGCCCTTCCAACCCCACCCCCAACTGGACATCCAGCTGTCAGCTCCTGCCCCCCTGGTCCATGCAGCCGCCCAGGGCCCCCATGTGGACCCCAGGAAGACAGTGCCACACGAGAGGCTTCCTGTCTTCTGGGGAAAGCTGCTGTTTCCCCCATACGAGACGACAGCAGCTGCATTGCCCATCATTGAGCTTAAATGCCGACATTTGGGTTTATGCCTGGGAGCAGAAGAGAGGGCAGTGATGAGAATGAGCAAGGTTATAATTAGCCCTACTGCCGCGCTGCGCTGTGACGCGCAGTCGGCCTGTTCCAGCCGTGGGAGGGGGCTTTCCCGCTCCTCCCTTCCGCTATTGGTAGAAGCCAAAGATGTATCTGCCTGTCCTGACTCCGTCCTCAGGGACTGGGGCTGCTCCACATTTCCAGAGTTGCGGGGCCAGCCTGCTGCATGCGTGTGTGCACGTGTGGGTATGAACGGGAGGGATGGGGGTGTGCAGACGAGTGTGCATGTGTAAGGGGCTTGAGAAACAGAATGTGTGTGTGTGTGTGTGCGTGTGTGTGCATGTGTGTAAAGCGTTCTTGCCGGGAGCTAGACTCCTCATTTCCCGTCACACCACGGACAGCTCATGACAGCCCCTCTCCAGCCCACTCTGGTGTTCCTACAGCTCCGGCCGGATCCCCCTTCTTTCGTTCTCTTGCCATAATAAGCAGCAGAAATTTCCTCCCTGTGTCATAGAGCACCAGTGTCTCCACCATTCTTCTTAACAGAGCATTTTTGGGCCTTGACTCTGCCGCGTACAGGGCCAGCCACGGCGGGGCTTGCCTGGCTCCCTGAGAACGTGGGCCAGAGCAGGACCAGACGCCGAGCCAATAGGCCTCGGGCCAGTGACGACAATTTTCTGAGACTCAGTTTTCTCATCGGCAAAATGGGTGTTCTAAAATTGTACCTGGGATTTAATTTATTGAGGTGTGGCTAAGTGATAACACAGGGTGGTCAATACCATTGGAAAAAAAGTTTAATGCTACTCACAGATCCCCTAGAAACGAGAGGCTGAGCACGCTGGGCAGGGCCGCAGGAGGGAACGCCAAGCAGGCGTCAGGAGGGGAGCACCCAGGCCACAGCCTTATTGGGGTTCCCATGGGAAACGCAAGGCTGGGCAGAGCAAGCAGTTTAGGATTGGCTACTCTGAATGATTCTGGAGGGCTTTGGGCTACAAGTGTGGTCCCTCGTTTTCTGGTCCTGGCGTGATTCGGGGCAGGGGAAATATTGGCTCGGTGCCTGAGAGATAAAGGGGGCGTCTGGCTTGCGTTTGAGAGCTGCGCTCTCAGGTCGGTCACTTCCTGTCTTTAGAATTAGCTAGCCCTGGGAGGGGCAGTTTCTCCCCAGGGTTTATTAGGCCCCCAAATGCCAAAGCATCAGGAGCACAGAACATAAGAAAATGTAGTCCATATAGCTGTCCCTGCGATGAATGGATGCCAGAGGGACAAATGCAGGATCTAAGGAAATACACGGGGCATCGCAAGGTGATCACAGGTCTTACAGATTGAGGTTCGAAGTTGGGGCGCTCAGTGCAAGTTGGCTGTCTTTCTTCTAGCACAGCTCTTGGCACAATGTGGCCTTATGTGTCTCAGAGAAGAGACGTCAGAGCAAGGGCCTCAGACACCCACGGGCACCACTCCCCCTTGCTGCCCCTTTCTGCCCAGACCCCAGCCAGAGACCCACAAGACTCCCGCAGCTGCCCTCTGAGCCGTGTCCCTATCTGCCCCAGGAGGACCGGGCACAGGACCTAAGTGAATCTCCCCCTCCTGCTATCCATCTATTATGTTGCTTCGTCCCCAGGTGGTGGGCGAGTGGAAATTCAGCAGGATTCACTGTGACATCTTTGTCACCCTGGACGTCATGATGTGCACAGCCAGCATCCTGAACCTGTGTGCCATCAGCATTGACAGGTGAGCCCAGCCAGAGTGGGAGACGTAACCCTGGCCATTCACCATTCCAGCCGCCCCACCTCTCCTCAGGGTCAGGCTCTGTCTATGACGGGGCTATGTGGCTGGCTCAGTGCATGTGGGTCCATGCGTTTGTGTGTGCATGTGCGTGCATGCGTGTATGGCTACCAGAGTACAGACTTCCTAAAGAGAGGCCCTCTATGAACGGTGATGCTGCCAAGAGTACCCAGACAGTGATGGTGTAACAGGGAAAGTGTGTGATTCTGACGGAAGCCCTAGTTCTATCACTTCCTACGTAGGTGACCTTGGGCAGATGTGGAAGTTCTCAGAACTCCCAGTTTCATTTTCTAGAAACCAGCAACGAAGACACCTGCCCCCTGACTGCAGTGCACAACTGCATGAAATGCTGAGGGGCCCAGGCCACGGCCACTTTGCTGAGCTGCATCCTTGGAGCCTTTTGCTAATTCTCACAGATATGCCCCTGGGCTCCTAGGGGCCTTGGCCCCAGTCGCTTCTCAGTATTCTTGGAAGATGAAATAAGTTAACGAATGAGAAGTTCTGGGTAGAGGAATGTGAGGGAGGATCGCAAGCAGTTGCCATTGTTATTATTTCTTGCTAGATGGGGCTTAAGCCTTGCTCTGAGGGGCCTGGCTACCAGTTCATTGACAAACATTCCCACCTTCTGTGGGCTCAGCACAGGCGCACAGGGTGTGGTTTCAAAACCATATTTTTGCAAAAAGACCCAGGTCACGGCCCCTCAAAAATCCTAAAATCCAAGTGAGGTGCTTAGAGTAAAAGTCGGCCAGCTGGGAAGTGCTCGACTGGGCCTTGCCACTGTCCTCGCTGTCTGAATTTGGGGACAGGAGGGAGGATCGAGTCAGCATATCAGGCTTCCTGGAGTGGGTCACCTGTCCAGCCCCAAGGAACGGGGGTGTCTCTGGTGTGTGCGTGTTGTGGAGTGAGGGGTCCCTGGGCCTGCACCCCAGATTCAGGGTCCCCCACCCTTGCAGGTACACAGCTGTGGCCATGCCCATGCTGTACAATACGCGCTACAGCTCTAAGCGCCGAGTCACTGTCATGATCGCCATCGTCTGGGTCCTGTCCTTCACCATCTCCTGCCCGCTCCTGTTTGGACTCAACAACACAGGTGAGACCTGTCTTCGTCCACCTGGGGCTCAGCTGACCCAGTGGGAGCTGAGTCCCTGGCACAGATAGGGCGAAGGCCCAACGGGGACCTATTTGCCACTCTGGACTGAGACCAGGCTGGGTGCCTTGGGCCAGGTCCAGGTCAGGCCAGAGAGGAAACAGCAGCCCAGACACAATGGAGCTGGATGGGAAGTGGGAATAATGGCCCAGGAGGGTGTCTGGCAATTTCCAGCTTTGTTTGTTAAATGGAAGCAGGTCAGATAGCCTCACAGGCTGCGTGTGTGTATGTGTGTGCGTACACAAACGTGGGGGGGTCTTTGGGGGCTTCCATCCACCCCTGACAATGCTATTTTTGTTATGAGGCTATAGCCCTCAGGGCCGGCTGAGCCCAGGGCAGCTGGAAACAGGTAGCGGATGAGCCGACCATGTGCCCATTTCTGTGGGAGGCAGAGTCGGGAGTGTCTCGGGCAGAGGAGACGAAAAGTGCCTGGAGCTTCCTCTTGTCAGGGAGACAGGAGCTGCTGCAGGTGCACCTCTGTGACCAGAACAACACAGGGTACAATAAAGACCTGAAATTGTGGTACAATAGCTAAGTGTCACAGGAATTCTGAGCAGCGGGAACAGAGCTACATATACTTGGATTAATCTGGGAAGGCCCTGAGACTGAGACATCTGGTAGACCTGGAAGGGAACAGCGAAACGTATGAAACATATCGAAACACAGCTGAGTTCAGAGAACAGGACCAGGTTATCTTGTTCCTAAAATTAAAAGGTGGCAGCCCTCCCCCAATATGAAGGAAAGACTGAAATAATGGTTTACTCTTCTAAAATAATTTTCTTGCATCGTTTTGTCTGAATACTCTGGCTCCACTTGTGCGCCCACAGATGACAAAACGAATGACCAAATAATGACAGGAATGGTAATGGAAAACGTGGAAGCAGTCAGTAAGCTTGTTGCTCGCAGTTGTGTTTGCAATACTTGCAATACTCTGATTTACGCTGCACATTTATTTACATCCGCCTGGGGCTCTCCTTCCCCCAGACCAGAACGAGTGCATCATCGCCAACCCGGCCTTCGTGGTCTACTCCTCCATCGTCTCCTTCTATGTGCCCTTCATCGTCACCCTGCTGGTCTACATCAAGATCTACATCGTCCTCCGCAGGCGCCGCAAGCGAGTCAACACCAAGCGCAGCAGCCGAGCTTTCAGGGCCAATCTGAGGGCCCCACTCAAGGTCCGAGACACCCCTCTCCTCCGAGTGTCCCAACCTATTACCAAAGGGGCTTGTCCCTGCTCAGGCGGGGGCCTGGGACACCACACCAGGTTGAGGTCCAGGCTGGAGGAGCTCTAAGGAGCTGGGCAAGGGCAGGCTTTGAAGGCCTGGACGGCAGGAGAGCGGCTGGGATCTGCAGGGGTGGGAGGTGGGGTCTGTGGTGCGCACCAGCTGGGAGGAGAAGTCTTTGCTTGAAGATCTCTGTGACCAAATGCAGCTCCTGGTGCCCCCTTGGCTCCATTCTGCTCTGTCCTTAGCCTCTCCTTTCCCCATCCTTGTCCCTCCATCCCTCTGTCCCTTCCTCTGACACCTCCATCCGATTGCCCTTACCTTCTACATTCTGTGTCCTGCCCGCCACGCACACCTCCGTCTTCCTCACCTCCTCTTCCCTTCTTCTCTCCTCTGCTCCCTTTTATCTCCCCCCTCTTATGCCTTGTGAATTCTCCCCTCCTCTCCGCCCTCCCCAAAAAAGACAGTACGTGGGCATGGAAGGAACAAGAGCTTTTAGGTTAGACACATCAGGTTCAGATCCTGGCATTGCCATTTTTTTGCTGAGTGACCTTGGGCAAGTTGCTTAACTCCTCTGAGCCTCAGTTTCGTCATCTGTGAAATAGGACTCATAATACCAACCTCACAGGGTGGTCCTGAGGATTCCATGTCAGAAGGGACGTGCGGTGCCTAGCATGGTGCCAGGCCCTCAGCAGGTGCCCCCTTGTCCTGCCCGCCTCTTCTCATCTCGATCCTGACCTTCACCTGCCGCTGGCCCCGCCCTCCTGATCTCTGAACCCCTCTGCCCCATCTGAGTTCTCCGTGGACTACTGCACCTTGGGTTTCTCCCCTCCCACCACCCCGTGTGACCCATGTGCTGGCTCCCTCCACAGGGCAACTGCACGCACCCTGAGGATATGAAACTCTGCACCGTTATCATGAAGTCTAATGGCAGTTTCCCAGTGAACAGGCGGAGAGTGGTAAGTGCGCAGGTCAGGGACCCAGAGCCAGGTCTTCCTGCCCCTACGGACGCCCACTGGCCAAGGCTCTGAGCCCTCAGCAGTGGGTCAAAGGGAGAAGCGCCTCCCAGCACCCCCCACTTGCCTCGGCTGAGGGCAGACCCACCATGCAGACCTCCCAGCAGGCAAGAGCCCTCGACTCTACAAGGCACATACTCCGAGCACAAGGAAATGGTGGGGAGAAAGGACTTGGCCATAGCAGTGTAATAAAAATGATCATGGCTATTCCCATTTCTCAAATACCTGCCACATGCCTTGTATCTCATCAAATCCTCACCGCGACCCTGGGAGGTAAGTCTTATTGATCAAATTGGTTTTCAGTTTACAGAAGAGGAAACAGAGGCTCAGAGAGGATAGGTGACTCACCCAAGTCTTGACAGTTAGTGACACAGCATGTATTTAAGCCCAGACCTGTGTGGGTCAGAAACCCACGCCCGTGTTCTTTCCGCTGGCACGTGCTGCTTCGTGGACAGGCAGGTCTGGGGCTGGCGGCGGGAGCTGGGGGAGGGCGGAGCAGCCGCAGGGGCTGGTGGTGAGGCACAGTCTGCAAGTAGAGCCCAGAGGGGCACAGGCATGGCAGGCCCCCAGCTCTGCCCAGTGACAGTAGCGCCAGGGTCCAAGCAGCTGTTGTTTTATCCCCCAGGTGGACAGAAAATGAGGCCAGGGAACCCAGAGAAGGCCACACAAAAAGCCCAAGCCAAGGGTCCTTGGGAAGCAGGGTCCTCCCCCATTCACCTGCGCTGCAAGGGCAGGATGCCGAGGAGCTGTTTATAAGGCAGGTGCCAAAATAGGGACTCAGGATCAGGGCCATGGCAGCGGCCCAGTCACACACCTGGGCACACAGTGAGGCTGCATTTCAGGAGCTCAGACTAAGACCTCCAAGGCCTTAAATAGGAGAGCCTAATGCAGAACCTGGGAGGCCCTGAGTGGACCCATGCCAGGGCCCTCCAGGGCAGGCCAGCAGGGAAGACATGGGGCCCCAGGGGTCAGCGGCACCTGGGTGTGTCCAGCCAGGAGGATGCGGAGCCCACGAGTGTGTGCTGGTGCAGGTGCCCACAAGGTGGGAGCACTGGGCCCCGGATTTCAGCCTGGCGGGGAGAACAGGGTGGGTGCCATTTGTGCAGTAGAATAGGAGTTCTTAGGGGCAGGAGTGACCATCACTTAGCTGTTTATCCCCAGCAGCCAGCGTGGTATCTGGCGCACAGCTGGCACTCAGCAAGTGTTGCTCAGGTTATGAAAGAGAAGTGCCTGGTACTCAGCCCCCACAGAATGGTTATGGGATATTGAGGCTGCATAAGGACCGCTGTGGGAAGGGGGCCAGGGACAGTCCCTGCTTCCCAGTGATCGTCCTCCTTGCACCCTGGCAGGGATATCCTGTGGCATTTGCAGGAGTCTCCAGAGGGGGAAAGGGAGGGGCCAGTGCGGCTCGGGGGGCCGATGCCTGGGAACTGGCCTGGCTTTACCTGGAGCTCTCTGCCTCTGGTGCAGGAGGCCGCCCGCCGAGCCCAGGAGCTGGAGATGGAGATGCTCTCCAGCACCAGCCCCCCTGAGAGGACCCGGTACAGCCCCATACCCCCCAGCCACCACCAGCTGACTCTCCCCGACCCCTCCCACCACGGCCTCCACAGCAATCCCGACAGCCCCGCCAAACCAGAGAAGAATGGGCACGCCAAAGACCACCCCAAGATTGCCAAGATCTTCGAGATCCAGTCCATGCCCAATGGCAAAACCCGGACCTCGCTCAAGACCATGAGCCGCAGGAAGCTCTCCCAGCAGAAGGAGAAGAAGGCCACTCAGATGCTCGCCATTGTCCTCGGTGAGTTGGCCCCGGCTGCCGGTCACAGCTGGCCCTGCCCAGCCCTGGCTGGGGAAAGCACCCATCTCTGCAGGTCCCATTCTCTGCCTTGCCCTTCCTCACGGGACTGGCATTTCTCAGGCACAGGCCAAGGCACTCGACGTACACATAGCCCTATTAGGTAGATTCTATAACTGTGTTCATTTTACAGATGGGTAAACAGAGGCTTAGAGTGGTTATATAACTTGACCAAGAGAACTCATGATTTGAACTCAGGCCATCTGACTCCAGAATGTGTGAACTTGACCAGTCTATCATAATGTCCCCAGAACCTCATGTGTCCCCAGGCAAGTGGCTTTCTCTCTCTGGTCTCCCCATGTATAGAGTAGGTTATTTCTCAGCGTTGTTGTGGCAGTCAAATGGCATACAGTTGGTGGAAGCACTTTATAAACTGCAAAGCAGTACACATATGTAACGATTATGGTTTTTGTGACTATTGCTATTGTTGAGGAATTGGGAAATTCAGTTCACTTGCACCTAACTTGTGCGACCACAGCTGTGAAAAATAAAGGGGCCTCGAGATGCAGCCCCTGATCTAAATGAGGGGGCAACCCTGTCTGCTAGGCAGGACTTTGGAATGAAAATCTCCTAGAAAACTGTAAAATAAAGCTCAAAAATCAAGCGGTGGTTGGGAAAAGGAGGAGCTGATGTGACTCTGCCTTCCACACGGCACCTGCGATCCCCTTCCACCCCCTGGCAATCCCAGGATGTGAGTGGTGCAGGTGTTACTGCTCTTGGTTTATGAATGAGAGCACACGGTCCCAGCAGGGTGAGGGCCACCCATGGCCGTGGGCTGGGGCGTGGCAGTGTGGGACCGAAGCCAGGTCCTGCGCTGCGGTGCACAGGGGATCTGCCCTGTACCCCTGCCCCTTCCAGACACCGCTCAGCGCCTGGGCGTGCCTTCTGTGCCCGGAGGACCGTCCACGCACATGCTGCCTCCATGCCGAGTGTCCCCCTGAGCAGGATGTCCTGGAGAAAGCGCACCTGAGTTAGATGGGCAGGGCAGGTGGATGGTCGGCCTGGGTTAGAGGGCGTGGTCCGACGCAGAGACTGTCAAGGGTGTATCCACCAAGGCTGGGGAAATTGGGGGAAGGCTGGAGCAAGAGCCTGGCCATTTGGGGACCTGAACAGACTGAAGTTCAGCTCTCAGCTTTGCTGCTCAAGAGGGAGTGATCTTGGGTACGTGGCAGAGCCATTGCAAGCCTGTTTCCCATCTACCTGGTGAGGATGCCGTGAGAACTAAGCGATATAGGTATTCAGTGCTCCCTTTCCCCGAACCATGTGTCCCACACTGCCAGGAGCAGATCCCCTCCACTTCCAGCTTGGGGGGAAGACATTGTTCTCGAAGATAACCTTGAAGGAGAATAGATATCTCCATTTCTACGGGCTGACTTGGGTCAGAACGGTAATCTTTTGGATTTGTTTTTAAACAGAGTATCCTTCCCTCGGAGGTAGGTATTTTTATACCCATTTGACAGATGAGGAAAGTGAGGCTGAGGGAGCTGAAGGGACTCTTCGCTGCAGATGGGTGTCAGAGGCAGATCTAGAATACAAGACCGCGACTCCTCTTGCAGTGCTCCTGGGCTGCAGCCTGCTATCTTGTGCACAGAGTGGGGGTGTCCCTGGCCGTGCTGACCGTGCCCTCTCCCCCAGGCGTGTTCATCATCTGCTGGCTGCCCTTCTTCATCACGCACATCCTGAACATACACTGTGACTGCAACATCCCGCCCGTCCTGTACAGCGCCTTCACGTGGCTGGGCTATGTCAACAGCGCCGTGAACCCCATCATCTACACCACCTTCAACATCGAGTTCCGCAAGGCCTTCCTGAAGATCCTCCACTGCTGACTCTGCTGCCCGCCTGCACAGCAGCCTGCTTCCTGCCTCCCTGCCCAGGCTGGCCGGGCCTCACCCCTGCAAGCCGTGGGCAGGAAGGCCGGGGGGCGGGGGAGGAACACAGCCTTCTCCTCACCCCGGCAGGCCCTGCAGTGTTAGCTTGGCTCTGCACCCCGCACACCCTCACTCTGCCAGGGTAGTGCTAGGGAGCTGGGCATGGTATCAGCCCTGGGGCTGGACCGCCTGGCTCAGGGGCTGCTCCCAGGGTCCCCCTCCCACCTCCACCTCCCACCTCTCCTTGGCACCAAAGATGCAGCCATCTTCTTGACCTTTGTCTGGGGCTCTGGGGTCGCTGGGGCCAGAGTCAGAGCGCAGAGGCTGAGAGCTCTCTGTTTGTTAGGCTTGGCCTGGGGCAGGCAGCGGGGAGAGGTGGACAGTTCACACCCCACGAGGCCCACACAAGGGAAGCAAGAGCTTTTGCCAAGGACCCAGGTGAACCACTCAGTACTGGGTGACCCATGTACATACCAGACTGCAGGACGGACCCCAGAGAAGACCAAGCCAAAAATCTCAGCTCCCGCCTCCACCCCGATGTGAGCCTCTACTTCCCACGTCAGTGGGTCCTGACATGTCCCACCCCTTTACAGCTCCCCATGCGGTTTCCACATGCTCTGAGGGGAGGAACCCTAATCTCAAAGGGCCCCAAGAACGTCTGTGGGGAGAGGAACCCCTGGCCCTAGCCCATTCTGCCACCTTCCGACGGCCTCAGATGTAGCCCCTCTCATAGCAGATGCTGGCCACCTGGGGCCAGGTAGGGCAGTCGGCCTTGGAACCATGGCAGGGCTTGGGCTGGGGGGCATCTGAAGTTCTTTGGGGGCTGCCTCCTGCCACGCTCTGACGCAAAGACACTTTCCTTTTCTATTCCCTTTGGCGTCTTCTCTCTCCTGTGTCCCCTCCCTTCCACTGCCTCTGCCTTAGAGGAGCCCATGGCTAAGAGGCTGCTGGATACCATTTGGCCTGGCCTGGCCCTGCCCCGAGGGAGGAGGGGAAGCTGCAGCTTGGGGGAGCCCCGGGCCCCAGACTCTGTAACATCACTCTCCATGCACCAAACTAATAAAACTTTGGCAAGAGTTGCTCTCCAGGACCCTTGGGCAGAAGGGAGCAGTGCCACCTCCATCCTCAGCATTCAGGTGTCTGGCAGCGTCCTCCCCAATGGCAGCCAGGTGGTCCCCACCTCTCTACCTCCCCATCTCAGGTCCCGGTGCCTCGAAAGGACCATCCTTTGCCTTTCTCACCCACTAGGGCGGACAGGCCTTCGTGGAACAGGTGGCCTTTGAGGTGCTGGCTTTGCCTGTGTCTGTCTCTGTCCCCTGTCCTGTCTCTGTATCCCTGTGTCCTTGCTCTGGTGTAGGCTGAGGGGAGCAGGGAAGGCCCCGAGTGCTGTGGCCTGGACAGGTCTCCGTCCTCTGGGCCTCCAGACCACTCCACAGCTCCAAGCCTTCTGAGGCTACAGTTGGCACTGCCCCAACAACAGAAACTTAGCTTTCTAAAAATGAAATATAAATCAACCCGGTGAAGGAGGAATATTCTTACCGTCTTGAGAATAACAGTGCTGATGACAAACAAGGTTTTGGCACCCACGGGCTCAGGCTCTGGGGAGCTGTCAGGGCATAATTTGCATGCTAAATACAATATTTTTAGCACCAAAGTTTGGAGCACTTAACTTGCCCTGAACATTTAATTATGGACTTTGATCTTCTCCCTGAACCTGCGTGTAGTGCTAAGCCCTGAGAGAGGCTCCTGTCCCCAGGAGCACCCTGATTCCAGAAGGTGGGACCCTAGTCTGGCTTGGGGGGCTGGGGGGTGGGCAGTAACCCAGTGACTACCTCCTGGGGAGGCATAGGACCTCCTGGGGGCTCCAGGGACTTCTCAGCTGCTAATAACCACCCCTGAACCTACACACACACACACAGACACGCACACACACACACTCCCATGCTCTCAAGCTATGGAAGATCCTGACCCGGACGGGAGTATAAAGGTTTATCTCGTTATTAGAAATCTCAGGAGGGCACACAGGTCTATCAGTGAGAACCGAGCAGATGACAAAGGGAAACGGAGAGAGAGAGGGGAGGGAGGAGGAAGACCCAGAGCAGAGGGAGCAGAGGCTGACAGGGAGAAGAGGGGAAGAGGGCAGGGCAGGGGCGGGAGGTGGGGCAGGGGAAAGTTGCCCACAGTTGTCAAGAGGCGTCAAGTCTTTCTGCCAGACAGCAGATTGACAGCTAGAGTGGGCAGGGGGAGGGCTGGGCGCCACCCCCTCCCCCCTCAGCACTGCAGGGGCACAGAAAAGGGAGGAGGGGGACCCAGGAACACAAAGTGGAAGGGGGCGGCCCAGGCTCAGGCTCTCATCCGAAGGGGCGCTGATGATGGCCCCATTTTCTCGACAGCGAGGGCGAAGGGGAAGCCCTCCGAATTTCCACCCCGCTCTGCCCTTCCCTGCGTCTCAGTGTGTGTCTGCGTCTCTCTGTAGAGTGCCTTTCAATCAGAGGGCACTTCATTTGCCTTTACGATGTCTGTACCTCCCCTGTGGCCCCCTCGTCCCCAGAGCACAGCAACAGGTTACCACCTAAGGGTCAGGCGCAGCTGGGCACCATGCGTGTGTCTTCACAGACCGGAAAAGGAGTCTGACAGTCACGAAGGAGCAGGTCCAGATGTGGCTGCGAGTCTTCAAGGCTCCAGGCCCTTATTCTTCCCCAGGTGGGTTCTGGAGGATCCCAGGTGGCCTCGGGCTGGAGAGGTCTTGGGAGTTGAGACGACGGAGTCCAGAAGGCTAAGAAAGTGCATCATTCCGTCCATCCAGACACCCATTTGTTGTCTTACGCAGTGAATATTTCTTGAGCAACTGTTGTGCTCCAGGCCCTAGGCGGGGTGCAGGGAATAAGACAGTGAGGAAGGTGGTCGTGATCCCTGCCTTCGCGAGTTCACAGTCTAGTGGGATGACGGGCATTAACCCAGTGATCACACAATAGCGTGAAAGCTCCACTTCCCCACTGCCAGGGCCTTTTGGGGAGGGCAGACGAGGCACAGGCGTGTGCTGCACAGCTCCAGGGCACCGTCCTCCTAGGTGATGTGTGACACAGTGGCCCTGGCAAGCCTTGGCCTGGAACAAATAAGTGTGGAATCGGTGAGGGCAAGAAGACTGACAGCGTGGAGAACTTCCTGCATGGCTGGGGCAGGACCGTGAAAGAGCTCGTGCAGGTCCTGCTCTCCCGGTGGTCCCCGAACAGGCGCAGCCAGTCACCTGCAACTAGGAACACTGAAGACTGTCCTGCCCTCAGGGCATTTCCACTGTCCCCACCTACCTGGATCCATTCCTAAACCATCCCTGTCCCCAGGGACTGCATGGCTTCCTTCACCTACTAGCCCCAGCCTCCCTGTGTCCCACTGGCTCACTGCCCTCCTGGGTCCTGCGACCCAGGCTGTGTCTGCACCTTTAGCTCCCATCTGTGCCGGGGCCTCTGTGGGCTGCTCCCTCCCTGACGGTGTGTTCTTCGCCTAACCAGCAGGAGTGCTGTTCCTATGACCTCACTTACAGAAGAAAAGCTCTGGTACGGGGAAGGGAGTTCACCTTTAAGGCTAGGGCTTCTGTTTCTGCATCCTAGACCTTCCGCTCCAGCCCAGCTTCTTGACCTTCCCTGAGTGCAAGTGGAAGAGGCTAGTGTGCTGAGAAGATTTTTTAAAAAGACAGAGAAAGAAAGAAAATCTGTTTGGATCCAGACATTTAGGGTAACACCAGTTGGGCTGCCCTAGCAAGCAAGGGAGTAGGTGGTGGGGGCAGAGCAGGGGTACAATTATCAGTGGGGTTTCAATGGTGAAAGGAGCAGAATCTGGGCATCTGTGTGCCTGAAGATCCTCTCCTGCCAATCTGTACCTCTGGCTCTGTGACATTTGGGTCCTGGGGAAGCAGGAGAAGCAGGAAGCTGATGGGGAGCGGGCAGACCGTCTTTGGAGTGGGAAGACCCATCCTGGCTTTGTGGGCTGGGGGGAGAGGGGGTATGTGGTGAGAACAGCTTCCCACTCCCTCTCCCATCCCAGTTCTGCTACTTGGCAAGTTAGGCCTCCCTGGAGCAGAGGCCCAGGGTAGGCCCAGGGTGGCCCCAGGGCAGGGAACAGGCAGAAGTTGCTTGGCAGAGCCGCCAGCCTGGAGGGCATTTGGGGGGCCTCTTACCCCCAGTTGGAGCCATAGACAGCCCCAAGTCCATGGGAAATGTTGCATGACCACAGTTGCATGTGGCTTTCTCTTGTATTAACACCTGGCTTCTGAGACCCAGAGATGTGTGTGAGGGCAGAGAGAGGGAACCTCCCTGACATCTCAGGGCGGCGGAACCCCGATGCTGCAGGCGAGGTGAAGGATGGCGGCCAGGCCAGGGGAGGGAGGGGCTACCATTCAGGGACGGGAGGGGCAGGGTCTGGGGCACGGAACTGTATGGGAACAAAGCTGGGGCATCCACACCTTCGGGATCTTCCTGAGTCGGCCCAACTCCAAACACGCTGTCCCGTTGCCCCCAGGAGTATGTGAGCTGCAGGAAGAGCCATTTGGAGGCCAGGCTCCGCGCTGCGGCCAGGGCCAGGGAAGGCATGAGTGGGCGAGAGAGGAAGGAAAGGACCCTGGAGGAGACAAGTTCCATTGCCTGGTTTTCTCTGCTGTGGGGTTCAGAGCCAGAAAAGCTGACAGCATGGACTTGACCCCAGGCTCTGGGTGACACCATCTGTGGATGGTCCTCATGACTGTGTCGCGGTGGGCGTACCTGACTAGTGGGGCTTGCCCTGGCCCTACTGCTGATCTGACACTGTTACAGGTGTATCCCAGGAGGTCTCAGTGTCACAGCCACATCAAGGCACTGAAGCAAAGTCTTTCTTTCCTTCCCCGAATGCACTAGCAAAGGAAACAGGCAGCGGCTTCCAAGAGCATCCTTGCCAACGGCTCCCACAGGCTGAGCTGTCTGCCTTATTTGAAGAGAAAAACTCCTCTAATTTAGGAGAAACTGCAAGAAACAAACGTGTTGAGTGCTTACAAACTGCCTTGCCTTTTGACCGGCATGGCATCGGATTTAATTGTGACAACTCAGAGATAAGCATTGTCGCTGCTAAGTGATACGATGAAGGCCGAGATAGTTTCAGCAACCTGAGGTCATGTAACTAGGGGGTAGCTCAGCCGGGATTTGGGTCCGTCACGTCCAACCTCCCACAGCTCCCTCCCCTGCCTCAGCTCAGCCTGGCTCCTACCTCTGTCCCTTCCATTAGCTTGTAACAAACATCTGCTGATGTCGTCGGAGTCAGCAAACACGGAGGGACAGCCTTCTGTGCCTCGGCAGCAGGGCAGTGGGAGAGGGCTGGATGGAATACAGAAAAGCAGGACGTAGTGACACGGCATGTGCTGAGTAGGAAGGTGGCCCCAAGAGTGGCTCCTCAGCCTCACTGCACGGGGTGTCAGGACAGCACGCCCTGAGGAGGGAGTGGCATCTCCAGCGGGGCAGGCCGAGGAGGCTTCGCAGGCGGGGATAGGCAAGTTGGTCTCAAAGGACAGAGGGCACCCCGACAGTCACTGGTGGGAAAGGAGCTCAGACCGCCAGCGCAAAGAGGGCCCGCGGCTGTGAGTGTGGGGCCGGGCAGGCCGTGGGGGCACAGCGGGCCGGAGCCCCCACTGACCGGAGGTCCTGATAAGTTGGGAGGATGTGCCCTATAGGTGGCAGCAGGGGGTGGGCAGGGAAGGAATGTTCCAGGACAGAAGATGACCAGCGCTGCTATTCATGTGCTCAAGGAGCATTGGGGCCTCCCTGGCCTGCTGGTCCCCTCCTCCCTCTCCTCCCTGCCCCGCTTTCTCCCCTCTTCCCCTGCACTTGTCATTCTCTCCCTGGGGTTCAGTCCCCCAGGTTGGCTTTGGAGGGGGACATGGTCTCCCAGGTCTCCTCTCCTCACGGCTCCTAGGATGAGTCAGAGGCCTTTTCATCACTAAGGAGTTTGGGGCTCATCCCTGCTATCCTGCCTCCCTTCTGGGACAGTCGCAGAAGCCCATTTCGACTCCGCCCTCCACTTTAACTGCTATTGATCCAGCTCGCCAAACCTCCCTGCTCCTTCTGGCGTCCCTGCCTCATGACTGGGAGGGTTCCATCAATGGTGTCCTCCCAACACAAGCCACCAGGAAGAACAACCTGGGCTACCTGCCTCTCTGGGGACAGCCAGGCTAGGTGACGCCATCTCTCAGGGCTCAAGAATGTCTGCCTTGGGGGTGCTGGATTGGTTCACGTGGGGTTTACCATGGGAAAGGAGGCTCTCGTCTGGGTAAAAGGTAATGAGGGGTGAAGCCAGTCATGTCGCCGACAGAGGACAGGAGGAGGAGTGGGGGGAGGAGTGGAGCGACGGCGAGCACCAACTGGTGCTGGAGATGCGCACGATCCAATCGCACCCTCACCACAATAAAACTGTTGCAAACATGAGGCTGAAGCCCAGGAAGTCTATGCAAAGTCCAACCCAGGCCTGCCTGGCCCTGAAGCCCCTGCCACAGGCTGGGATCCCCATCTGCCACACAGCTCCCCATTTCCTCAGTCTACACGCAACTGGAGAGGTCTTCGGAATGCATGGTACGTTCTGGTTGTGTCCTCCCTCTGTTGGGAGAATGACAGCATGGAGTGACAGCTCCTGCATCAGAATGGGTGTCAAGGTCTCCCCGCCCCTACCTCAACAGTGCGGTCCCTCCACCTGCTCTCACGGTCTCCTCCCCACAAACAACTGTCTCACCTTCCCTGGCCTGTGGTCCTCTCCCCGCTCCCACCTGGTCCAGGCTGTGCCCCACCTCTGCTCTGTCCTTGTCCTCATTCCACCTTCGCATCTTCCAGAAAGCCCTTCCTGATCTACCCCCATCAGCTTGGCATCTGACCAGAGGAGGCGAGAAGGATATAGACTGCGCTGTCCACGCTCCACATGTGGCTGGCGACATTAATTTATTTAAATTAAAAATCCAGTTCCTTGGTTGCACTGGCCACATTTCAAGTGCTCAGTAGCACACGTGGCAGGTGGCTGCCCTGTGGAGCAGCGTGGAGGTATGTTTCCATCCTCTGGTCCCGAATGACTCCTAGCTCAGGAGCTTGGGTGCCTTCAACTAAAATGGGGGACAAAGGGTGAGGAGCAGGCTTGTGGGGGGAAGGGAATGTTCAGTTTGGGACACTTTGAGTTTAAGGGGTCTGTAGGACTTCCAAGTAGAGATGTCCAGTAAGAAATCAGGGAGCTCCTATTCTCCCCCACCCCAATCTCCCCTAAACAGGGCTTGAAATTCAATGAGAGACCCTCTCCTTCGGAATGTCAAGGCCCTCACTAAAATTCGATTTTGAACTTCCTTAGGACAGCTGTAGAAGGCGGCTCTGTTGAAATGGGCCTCAAGGTAGATGCTATGGGTGTCTGTGTCCGTGCCTGGCTAGGGGAGCCTCGAGCAGGGTGAAGAGGGTGCCAGTGGGCAATGAAGGGGCCGTGATGGCCAGGGCTGGCCTGAAGCCCCTACCTGTCATCTCCTGGGGGAAGCAGGCATCTCAGGACCTCTGCCTAGACCCCTGAGCACCAGAGCTGAAAGGACTCTCAGGGACAGTCCTGTCCACATCTTCACGGGATCCCTGTCATTTGAGGGACACTAGGTGCAAAAGGATCACCTACCTTTCCCAACACCTTTCCTTCGGGTCTGCTCTCCAGCTCTCTCCAGTAGGATGAGCCAGCCCCATTCTCACCTGTGCTTCACTCCTGACCACGCCCATGACTGCCGGAGCTCACCTGGCTGTGATACGTAGCCCCAGAGCCTTCTCTGGCTCGCTCGAAATCCTAGAATCGGAGCTAGACTCAGCCTTCAGGGTGCCAGGAGAAGCAAACTGCCCTGAGCCTCCTCCGCTCCCCTCGTCCTGCTCCTGCTTGTCCTGGGAATGAAGGAACTCCCAGGGGCGTCTTCAACTCCTCGTGCCTAAGACTTAGTCTTAGGGAGGCCAAAGAGTTTGGGCCAGGAGGCTAGCAGGGAGGAGGCAGATGGAACAGTCTGCTGAGCGCCCCCTGCCACCAGTCCCCAGGGGTCCCCACTTAACCAACTGGGAGAGGAAAAGACCTCTGACACCCTGGGCTGCTGGCCAGTGACTGTCTTCATAGCAATGCCAAGGAAGGACACAGAGAGAAACCACGGGACACCCTCCCTCCCCCGGGCTTGTTCTCAGACCTCTGCACCTCCGAATCCCCTGGCGACTGTGAGTGATGCTTGCACCAGGATCTGATCCTGGAGGTGCTGGTCTAATCGGTCAAGGGTAGAGCCAGGTGTTCGTATATTTAAAAAGCCCCTCACCCCGTAGATGCTCATATGTAGGCTAGACTTATAACCTCTGTTCTAGGACACACCCCAGTTCCCTAGGCTCACATCTGGCTTTCCATGGTGGCCACAGACTGTGGCGAGGTGAGGATAAAGTGTCCAGGAACCAACAGGCAGAGCCACAGTCCAGAGGCCGCAGGGTGGAGGATGCAATTCTGCTGGCTGTGCTAAAAAGGACTCGTGCACTCAGCAGGATAGCACGTGAGGCCTCAGGTGTCCTCTGCCCTGTCTTGCTTGCCCCATGCCGACACCAGGCTGCCTACTGGTGGCCCCATGCCCAGCCTGGGATGCCCAGCCCAGGAGAGCAACACGGAAAGGCAGGCCTGCCGACTGGCTGGGGTCAGAGCCGGCCAGGAGTTGAGATGGACAATTCCCCTTCTCTGACAACAAAACTACAGTTGTGTGTGTATGAGTTGGAGTGGCTGCTTTCACTGTGCTGTTCAGCAGTGTAGACAGGTGGAGAGGAGCAGGACAGGACCCTGGGACACCCATCCCACCCCTACTCCCTCCCAATCACCTGCTTGCTAGAAGCCAACTGGCCACCGAGCCAGGGCCCCAGTCACACAGCTAGTGTGAGCAGCCCCAGCCCTGCCCCAACCTGCCCTCAACCAGCAGGCCAGCTGATCGGTGGCCAGGGTGTTGTCACATACGCGAGCTCTCTGAGCCACTGCCGAGGAGCAAAGTCTCTGCCCTGTGAGCTCCATCCCGAGCCCAGATCAGCTGCCCTCACCATCACCACCTGCCAAGCCCCTCACTGCCCCTGCCTCCCCCCACCGTGTGCACCCACAGCCCACACCAGACAGATCACACGCACACACATGCACACACCCCACACTGACACTCCTGGCCCCTATATCCAACCTGGCCCCAGGTCAATCCATCTGCAAAGGGCAGACTCAGACCCACCCAGCTGTGTGGACTTCAGGGCTTGAAACCTGCCCGTACAACTGGACACAGAGAAGGGTGGGGGCGGGACCAGTGACCGCGAGTGCCACATAGGATCTCTCATCCACATCGGAGTGCACCCTTCCTTTGCCCTCAAGAGACCGTGAAGGAGACCCAGGCACCGGGACCAGGGCCACTGGGAGGGGGTGGTCAGTGTGGCAACAGGGGCCTGTCTGGGACTTTAAACAGTGAGCAGAAATTTCCTCGGAACTTTTAGCTCCTGTAAAAAGGGGCAAAGCAGGAGTGTCTGTCACTTCTGCCCCAGCCTGAGTAAGCCCACTACCCTTACTGCAGCGCCTACCGTTGTCTTCAGAGGGCGTTTCCTAGGATGCAAGGGCCCTGTGAACTCAGGGCCATGTGGCAAAAGGTGGCAGGATTCTTGGGACCGGAGAGGGGAATTCACCTTGGGGAGCCCGTGTAGACCAGGAGGAGGAGGCCCGGGACCTGCTGGGGATGACTTGGAGGAAGTGTTGAAAGCAGCTCTCCAAGCCAGGGGCCCTTCCCCAGCTACAATCTCAGTGGCACCTCTCCCCTCCCTCCATCACCTGGGAGACCCGGTTTCTGCTTCCTCTCAAGGTCAGAGGGGCAGGATGGGGAAGAGGCCCTCCCAGAAGCCCAGTTTCACTTCTACCAATCCCTCCTCCCTCCAAGCAAGGAGACCCCAAGTTGGCTAAACTGTCTGGGCATCGAGCTCAGCAGCACCCAGAGTGGCCAGGAAGAGCTCCTTGCCCTCTAGGAAGGCCACGGTGCCCTGTTTTTGCCTCCAGAGGGCCAGCTGCCAGGAAGTACAACCCACTCCATCCTGGATGTGCAGCTGGGTGCCAGTCTTGACCAGCACTTTGAGGATGGCTGTATTGCCCTTGAGGGCAGACAGGTGGGCAGGTGTCCAGCACACCTTGCTATGGGCGCAGATATCTGCAGAGTACTCCAGAAGAATGGTGGTGCTCAGGAAGGCACCTCTCTGCACTGCCAGGTGGAGGAGTGTCCAGCTGACTGCTTGGCAGCATTGGGGTCAGCCCCACACCCCAGCACTGCCAACACTGCCACCTCCTCGTAGTGGGCAGCTAGATGCAGGCGTATCCAGTTCATGCCTATGAAAGCATGGACGTCTGCCTGGCTCTCAGCCAGCAGGTGAATGATCTCCAGGTAGCCCTTGTAGGCTGCTAGATGCATGGGCGTCCAGCCCTGCTGGGTGGGCAGCTCAAGGCTGGCCCCAGACCTATGCAGCATTTTGCAGATAAAGTACTTGCTCCTGGCAGCCTCTGCGTGCAGTGGGCTGTAGCCACTCTGATCAAGGACGTTGGGGGCTGCCCCACTTTTCAGCAGGTGTTAGGTGGCCCTTCCTTTGCCCTGTTCCACTGCCAGCTGCAGTGGTGTCCTCAGGTTTCCCTGCCGAGATCCAACTTAGCCCTCTGGTCTGTCGGCAGCTTGGCTGGGCTGACATGGCCAATGTAGGCAGCCATGTGGAGGGGGCCTTGCTCTTAGCTACGTGCAGGTTGAGGTCAGCTTGATGGGAGACCAAAAGCCGTGCCTCATTCTCCAAGTTATTCTGTGTGGCCAGGTGAGGTGGCATCCACCCCTGGTGCTCCTGAGCACCCATGTGGGCCCCATGGTCCAGGAGCAGGTGCACAGTGCTGTTGTCCCCATTCTGGGCTGCAAAATGCAGGGGGTCCCAGCCATCCTTGTCTGCCACATTGGCATGAATGCAGTGAACCAAAAGCAGGGCACAGGGGTTTGGCTGCTGGTCCTGGGCGGCGATGAGGAGGGGTGTAGCTGGAGGCCATCTGGCAGTCCATGTCCACCTTTGGGGCCAGCAGCAGCCTGTCCCACTCCATGCTGCCCTGGGCCACCAGGAATTGGAGGGGAGTGACCTTGTTCTCATAGATGTGCAGCTCCTCTTCGCTCAGGACCAAGGTCTTGCTGCGGGACAGTTGTAGGACCTGCTCCAAGTAGTCTCCTGCGTCTGCTGGGAGGAAGATGGGCTGGGAAGAAAAAGACCTGTGACCTGTCCAGAGGGCATCTCAGCTGTCCCCCTGCCTCCTGGAAGTAGCGTCCAGGAACAGAGACTAGAGGAGTGAGGGCAATGCTTTTCCTGATAGCACGGTTCCCCACGCAGTTAGGACTGTTGCTATTCAAACTTGGCCTCCCTTGTTTTGGAGAGTGGAAACCTGCAGTTCCTCCTGCACAGATGCGGCCAAAGGAGCAACGGGCCCAAGAGGCCTGGGTGCAAGCCCCGATCCCCACCTTAGCAGCCCCTGACCTCAGCCCATGCTCTGCCCCTTTGAGCCTCCATGTCTGTATCAGCAAAGGGGAGACGAACAATGCTCAGCTCATTCTACCCTTGTGAGGACAAATTATGGAGGTGAGAACTTTCAGAGGAGGGCCTGGGCTGAGGTAAGTGAATGCAAGTCAGAAATAAATTTGTGGTTGGAGCTCTAAGACCTAAACCCCCCTGAGGTCTTAAGGATTTACCCCCCACAGATTCCAAAAAACTAGTCTCTGGTAGGCCAAAGGCATTGATTTTTTTTTTTTTTTTGTCCCTAATTTCCTAAGTAAATCTAACTGCAGCCAACTTTGAGAACCACGCTCCGCCTCTCAGGTCAGGAAGGGAGCAACTGGTCTTGCAAGGACACAGATCCCAAGGGGAGGTGGAGTCAGGCCCCTGAGCACATGTGCAATTCTGGAAGACACAGCCGGGTGCTGGGACAGACCCCTAAGACCCGGATGTGTGCCAGACCCAGGGAGGGTGGGGCCGTTTAGGATGGGGAAAAGGTTTGATTCCAGTTGCTCTGCAGCTGTGAGTTCTCCGGTGGCACCTGGACTCACTGCTGTTTGTCAGCTCCGGGCCGGCTTCCTCGCTGACCTGCGGAGGCGGTTCTGGTCTGTGGCGTCCTCTTCTCCTTCCCTCTCTCCAGTGCTCCCTGTCACCCATTAGGAGGACTCACATCGCACTCTGTCCTGGGACACCTCCTCCTTTGCCATGGCTACCCTCAGCTGTGTCTAGAGGACAACACAGAGAGGAGACACCCTCCAGAAGGAGGTGGCCCAGGGCCTTGCCTTCCCTGGGGCACATGGACTGCAGGGTGGGTCTTTGGGTCCAGCCAGGAGTCCCAAGCTAACCTATGGCTGGTTCCCGTGTTAGGGCAGCGACAGGAGGACCGAGGGATGGTGTTGCTGCCCACAGTGTGAAACCTCCCTCTGCAGGGCAGGGCTCCGCTTGATCCCACATGTGAGCAGAGGTATGTCCTTCCCAGGGGCTCTGAGCTACAGCCACCACTAACCTTTAGAGCACCTTTATGCAAATTAGGAAAAGAACTTCCCTCTGGGTGGAGGTGGCCCAAGCTGGGCAGCCTGGCTTGGCCCCTTCAGCCAGGCAGCCTTGCAAAGGACACAGCCCGTGCATGAATATTCAGTGTCCTGCTAGAGACCATGGCAGTCCACACGGGCCCCCGGGTAGCACGACCCAGGACAGCAAGGCATGCCTGGTCCACACACTCACATCCCGAGGCTGGAACAGCGATGGTTTGCAGGACACCTTCCTGGCCAGGGCCTCACTCTCTGGGCCTGCCTCAGGACTCTGCAGCAGTGACAGCAGCAAGTCTGTCTCCACTGTGAGGTCTGCTCCATGAGGGAGAGAGAGAGAGCACAGGGAGCAACAGTCCCTTCCCTGTTTTAGATACACTGACGTTTCCTGTGTCCGCACCACATCCATTCCTGGGCACCTGTATGTCCATACGTGCACACAAGGAGGCAGGAAACTTGGGTCCCAGCGGGGCACTTTGGCAAGTCACCCACCCTCTGAGTTATCAGAGTCCTTTTCCATAGAACCGGGGGACAGGGCTAGGTGATCTCCGAGATGCTCACACTTACACACACGTGCATTTTCAGTCCCCAAAGGACAGAATAACCTCACAGTCCATCCCAGTCTGTGATCTCATGGTCTGGAAACATTTCACAAATGAGGACACCGTAGCCCCGAAAGAACCCAGGGCTGACTGGAGAGCTCCGTGGCAAGGCCAGGCCCAGATATTGTGACTTATGCCTCTGGCAACGAGGAGTTTCTACTCTACCTCCACAGGGACGCACATGATACACACAGAGCTTAGGCCCCGTCCGCAGCTGCTCCTGGCTCCCGATGCTGTCCTCCCAGCCCCGGATGCAGATTCTACCCTAGAAAGTCCCTCCAGGCCCTAGTGCTGCAGGCGTCTCTCTGCGTAGTTCTCAGGAGTGACCTGGGCCAAATCATCTCCCATCCTGGCCCTGCCCAGCTCCCAGTCCCTGGGCAGGTGAGGCTGGTTAAGCACCTGCCAAGCACAGCCCCTTCCTGGGGTCCTGGTCCCAGCAGCGCCTCATCAGGCCCACCATCTGCTGGGCCTCACCTGGCCACAGGTGGGAGACAGGCTCCAGGAAGGGCCACATGCCTGTGGCCACTTGGATAATGATGGTTGTCATGGTGAACCCTGCCGGAGGAGGCCCAGACCGTGCGGGTGCTGGGAGACAGGGCAGGGGCTCTGAGGACCCGGGCAGGGTGTGCATGCAGCAGGGGCTCCACGTGTGCATGGGGAGTGGACAGCTAGACTAATGACCAACTTAAAGTTTTGATTTGAGCAGCCGGGTCTCTTTGTTCAGCTGTAGCTACCTCCCAGGTCAAGACTGGGCAGGACCCCACACTGCAGGGCTGTGCTGCCCAAAGGCTGCCGGATGGACAGACAGGCCCAGGTGAAAGCTCTGACATCCCACGTTGCAAGGTTACCCAACTCTCCTGCAGTCCATTTACCTGGCACCTAGGCAGCAGGGCTGGGGGATGGAGAAGGCAGGAACGGGTGCTCTGAAAGCAAGGGGGTCAGAGCCACGCAGCATGGGCTGGGCACACTTCGTCTTTCTTTTCACTAGGACGTGAGTGGAAGGAGGGCGAGGAAAAGAATAGTGAAGAGAATAGGGTCCCCACGCAAGCCTGCCCCTTGTGCTCCCTCTCTAATTCCGGCCCTCCCACGGCCTCTCCCCAGCACCCCATCGAGGGGCCTGTCCTACTCCTGCACAGCCGCAGCTACCTGCTTCTTAAGCGTGGTTTCTTCTGAGTGAGGAGCTCCCAGATGTCAATCCTGAAGCTGTGATGGGGAAATGGTCCGAGGGACTTGGTCCAATATCCATGGTCACCCCAGCCAGGGGGCCCTACAGCCCACACAGTCCCAGACAAGCCTCTCCAGCCAGAGTCATCCCCACCCTCCTCCTCCCACCTGGGTAGGGAGGGGCCAGACTGCATCCCTGTCCTTCCCTGCCCACTGGCCATGGGTGCCAGGCAGGGTGGTGGCTGCAAGCTGTCTCTGGGGTGTGTGGCATGGAGGCACCCCCAATACTGGTACACTCAGATTTGGGCCTTGTTACTCCCCAGGAACATCTCCGGGGGACGTAGCTGAGTGTGCCCTGCAGGGCAGACCTCCCGATGTACTGCATCCACTTGGATAGGCCAAGGTCTGAAATCTGGGAGAAAGTCAGTGTCGGGAGATAGGGGCGTAATAGAGTCTTGTGTCCAGAAAACTGCTTCGGTTCCTCACCCCTCCTGCAATCTACCCGTTCCAGTATCGTGTAGTGGTTTCCTACTGCGCTGCCTCCCAGCTCCGCCACTTACTACCTGATGATCTTGGGCAAGTTACTTATCTCAGAGCCTCAGTTTCCTTATCTGTAAAATGGAAATAATATGAGTACTTGACCATAGTGCTGTTACGAGCATTAAATGAGGTAACATGGAAAAGAGCACTTAGAACAGTGCCTGGTGTGCAGCAAGTCCTTGGCAGGCGTTGCCACTATCCAGAGAGACTGTGGATAGAGTTGCCATCCTCAGAGAGCTTCTGCTCATCCCACCTCCACAGATCCTGAAACATACCATGTACATTTATCCCCCCTTTGCTTCCATCCATTAAGTCATCACTGGCCAATTGGCCACTCACTGAGAGTCAACTAGGCTATGGGCTGAAGATCAAACTCAGAAAAGAAAAACGAGATGCCCCACACACTCTGTACCCTCATAAGTGCCTATTCAAACAGGTGTACAGTCATTAATGAAAGAGTTTCACAAATAATTATATCTTTGCAATTGGGTTTAGCAATGTGAAGAAACAGAGGCCCAGTGAGGGTATACAACAGGGATCTGTTGGAGTAGATCAGGGAAGACCTCCCTGAGGAGGTGATATTTAAGCTGAGAGCTGAAAGATGAGAAGGTCTTTGCTAGATAAAGAGAGAGGAGTAGGGGAACAGAATATGCAAAGGTCCTGGGGCAGAAGAGAGTGTGGCATATTTTAGGAACTGAAAAAAATGGCCATTATGACCTTTCTTAGGGATTACCTCATTTACACACATCCCACCCAAAGCATGAAATGGGAGGGATAGATATTATTCTGCCTATTTTAGAAATTGAAAACTGAGGCCCAAAGAGGGTTATTACAAGCATTCTGGTATCCAACTTCATGCACCAAACTTCACTGCTTAGCCATCTCTGTTCCAGGTGTGATTCCTGCCCTCAAGAGAGCTGCTTAGACCTCTTGCCAGGCCAATCGGGCAGGTAGATAATTCTGATCACTGGAGGAGACTGTAGAGTGAAAGGGGGTGAGAGGTTTGGCCTGGGCTCTTGCCTTGACATGCGTGTCACTGTCTAAGAGGATGCTGCCTGGCTTGAAATCCAGGTGGAGCAGAGGTGGCTTGAGGCTGTGCAGGAAGTTCATGGCCCAGCTGGTCTCAGGGATGATGCAGAACCTGAGCTGCCAGCAGAGGCTGTGGGTGGCAGCATCTTCTCCAGGGAGCCTTTGGCACTAAACTCCATCGCAACGCTCAGGGGCTGCTTGCACACCCCATGGATAGACACGATGTGCTAAAACTTGACCTTGATCATTTTGGCCGCTTCTTCGATGAGCCAATTCACATGAGAGCTAGGGGGAGAGGAGAGCAAGATATGGAAGAGAATCACCCATTAATTCCTAAAGCAACCAGCAGAACACACGAACTAGGCATGATGCCAGGCTGTGGGGACCCAGAGAAGCCTCGAGAGCTTGCAAGGTAATGGAGGAGGAAAGAAAGACCTAAAGTGAAGCCCAGCAGGTAGCACGGATGAAGGTTCAGCAGAGCAGACAGGAAGTGCGGGAGTTTGCAGGTGTAGGAGCCAGTCCACTCTGCAGAGGTGGCCACAGACAGCACCTGTCTCAGCCCGATGTTGATTCTGGCTACCTGTTTCTATGTGTATCTCCCCCAGTAGATGTCAAGCCCCTGGAGATTAATATTATGCCTCATGTTTTTGTTTTAAAATATGATTTATTGCCGTTTTAATTATGAAAGTAATACATATACCTTGTAGGAAATCTAGGGACTATAGAGAGCTATAAAAAAGAAAAGTAAATCATCAGCAATCCAATCTGCCAGGTTGGCCTCTGTTGATATTTTAGTGTATTCTTTTATGATACATTTTCAAGGCCTCCCTTTCCCTTTCTTCCTTTCGCTCCTTCCTCCCGCCCTCTGGATCACACAGCGTGTGGAGCACGAGCACTTCCCCACACGGCGATTCTCCGGAAGCACGGTTGTTAATGCACAGTATTCCACTTTACAGATCAACTATAATTATTCGTCTTTGTACTCCCCAGAGCACATGGCCCTGCGCTGCACAATGCATCTTTGTTGAACTGCACGGAAGTCGAGACTTAAGGGACAGCCTTACAAAAACAAGCATTTGCAAACCCTCTCACTCATTTCACTGTATGGGCCCACAGTGCAAATTGTAAATATGCAAACTGCTATAGATTTTTATGGAATCGCAGGCATGGGGATTGAGGAGAAATGACATTTTGAAAGTGCAATATTTGCAAATTTGTGATGGCGCTGCAGTCCCCTCCCTGGGAAGCCAACCAGAGAGCACCCATCTGCAGGAAAACTACCTGCTCTCCCTGGCACCTGGACAGGTTGGCTAGTCTAGGTTTCTCCTGTTCTCACCTCTACTTCTCTACTGTGCCAGAGATCTCCACTTCTGTGATATTTTTGATTTTTCTCCTCTCATCCTCTTGGGTTCACAGGAATTAGAACGACATCTGTTGTGAAATGGAAAAAGCATGGGATCTGGGGTCACACCACCCTGATTTCAAATCCCCGTTTCATCACTTATTATCTGCATGACCTTGAGCAAGTGAATTCTCTGAGCCCCAGTTTCTGAACTGTAAAATGGGAATAATAGTAACTGCCTTGCACAATTCCGCTCCACACCCAGACTTCTGGAAAGCATTTACTGCTATCTCTCCTTTTCCTCATCTCTCTCCACCCCTTCTCGTCTAGTTTCTGGTGTCTGCACTTCACTGAACACCTGTTGCTAAGGTCACCAATGACCTCCATGTTGCTATAGCCAACGGGCAATTTCTAGTTCTCAGTCTAGAGTTCAGATTTCGGATTTTTTTTCTTTCTTCCTCTATGTGTCAACATTCTCTGGGATTTCTCCCTCTCTTTCTGGTCACTTCCTCTCTGTTTCCTTGGCAGGCTCATGCTGTGTTCTTCGATCATGGGGCTCAGTCCTAGCCCCTCTCCTCTGCACTTTTCACTCTACACTCTGTATCTCGCCAATCCCGACCTCTCTGACTGCATATGCAATACTAAATGTGTCTAAAGTTAAGCTTGATTCTCCCCTAAAACCTCCTCCTCCCTCAGCCTTCCTCATTTCCGTGAATAGGGCCTCCATCCTCCTGGTCCTCACACAAGGACCCTCGTGTCACTCCCCACAACCCGTCCCTTGGCAAATTCTGCTGGCACTACCTTCAAAATACCGTAGAGCAAGAATCCCACTAGTTCTCACTCCCTCTGCCCACTGGCATCTTGGCCCAAGCCTCCTAATTGGCCTCTCTGCTTCTCCCTCTTCCCACCCAGCAACTATTTTCAAATTAGCAGCCAGAGTGACACTTGTAAAATCTAAGTCAAAGCGTGTCACCACCCTCTTCAGGACGCTCCAGTGGCTCTCTTCTCATTCCCAATAAAAGCCAAAGTTCTTGCAATGGCTGACAAAGTTTTACAAGATCTGTTGCCTCCCTGAGACTCGGCCCCAGCCTGGGTGGTTCCAGGATCCGAAGCTTCCGGCTCCTCAGGTCCTGGGAGGGTGGGGATGGCAGGGGACTGGCCCTCCCTCCTCCCCGCCCTGCGCAGGTTAGGGGAGCCAGGACCTGAGCCCCGAGACCACAGCTTAGTCTTAGTCCTTCCTTAGTCTCAGCCTTTGGTCTTCCCACAGCTCTCACCCTGGAGCGAGGGAGCCGTGCTGGGAAAGGAAGGTGTCCTGACGCTGGCAGCAGAAGTCCAGCCAGAGAAGTTGGCTCCACTGTATTTAGGTGCAGTTTGAAGAGGGTGTCTATTTATGCGTCCTGCAACTCCCATGTCCCAGGGGTTATGAGGGTTCAGGGCTCTTCCCGGGCCTGGACCCCCGCCCCTCCCCAGGAAGGATGGGGTTCAAAAATTCCTAATGGGGATTTTTCTGTTCTGAATCTGTTGGTCTGATTGGTTTAATGCTTTCTTTGTTATTGTTGGTTTTCATTTGTTTGTTACCCAGTCTTAGCGTGCTAAAGGCCACCAAGAAAGGGTCAGCAAAGATAGAGGGGCTGGGGGGCTGGGATCCTGTCTTCAGGGGCTCCCTTCAGGGCACTGCTCTTGGCCCTAAGCTCAGAGGGCCAAGGCTCACCTGCCTGGGGGTGGCCATGGGGGAGGTGGGCTCCTTGGCCCACTTACTAGGGGAGGCTGGAAGGTGGGGCAGGTTGAGCCGGGTGACCGGGTGGCTGCAGAGCAGTGTTGGGGCTGTTGAGGAATCTGGCCTGAGGGCTCAGGGCAGAGACTTGGGGCAGAAGGGGAGAAAGTGTCCCTGTAGAGGCAAACCTGGCTGCTGGACAGACAGGGCGCTGTCCCAGTGGGTAAAGACAGCTGGACGAAAGAGGCAGGGACGGTCTCCCAGAGGCGTGAGAAGTGGCAGCACATTGAGGCAACACCCCTTCCATTCTCTGAACTGCCTGCTCCCTTCCCCTTCCCCTTCCCACCCAAGGTGGGCAGTACCTCAGTCTACCTGGGAATGCAGGTGAGAAGAGAGGAAGGCTTCCCAGTGTTGAGCCTGGAAGTTCCTCTGGGTCTTTGGCCAACGGAATTGCCCTCTTACTTCAGAGACGCTCAGAGCAGGGAAAATTGTAAGTGCTTGAACAGTTGGGTCTCCCCAGGGGCACTGAGCAAGCGAGTCACTGCCAGGGCCAGGTACAGCTGGGGGAACTGTGGCAGAGCCGTGCAGGGTCAGTCCCTTCTCACCTACAGCTGGGCAGATGGGCTAACGTCCACAGGGAGACCCCAGAGCGACCATCGTCAAGTGTGAGGAGCCCACCTGCCAGAGGAGGAATTGCCTCGCCTTTGGCCCAAGGCTGTCGGGCCCATCAGCCATGCCACAAACCCCTGAGACTGCCAGGGAACACCACAGGCAGGGCAGTGAACAGAGACTCCTGGTGGAAGATGCAGAACTTGCTCTTTCTGTAAGAATTTACATGCAACCTCCAGGATGAAAGACCGAAAATTAAGACTAAGGACTGAAGATTGGGCCCAAAGGCAGTTGTCACGGGGACCAATAATAGCCACTGTTAATTGAACATTAACTTTTTCCCAGATCAGTGGCTACTTTACTTACTGCACATACTTTACAGATGTCATCTTGTTTAAATCTACAACAATGTTAGCATGTCATCATCTCGCCATTTGCAGATGAGGAAACTGCCTTGGAGACAGTAAGTAGTCAATGGCCACAGAGCTAGTAAGTGGTAGTTGATATTCAAACCCAGTCCTCTTGATTCCCATGGAAATGAGCTGGGCATGGGAGGAGCAGGGGTAGCCTTTCACGAATATGGGGGAGAGGGGAGAGAGAGTCATGCTCCCTCGAAGAGGGTGGAGGTGATGGAAACTGCATCCAGAGCAGGGCAAATACCCCAAAGACAGTGTCAGAGGGAGGCCCCCAGCTTGCTTCGGCTGGAGCAAGGCAGGGGACAACAGAACTTAGTGCCCCTGGAACAGCACTGCCTGCCCCTGACAAGTTTCAAAGCCTCCCCCAGGAAAGCTTGGAAGATGAGAGGGGACATTACTGTCAGGGAGACTAGGAGGTCAAGAAGAGGTCTCGTGCCTTCTCCTGGGTTAGCTAACATGGTGACTGGGAAGGCAGACAGCCCCCTGGCCCTGAGGAAGTTTGACTCGGGACCAGATCTCTGACGTTCAGTGAAATCTGTCTCGGCTCCTGGAGGAAACACCAGGGGTGAATGGTCTGAATCAGTTCAGTGATTTCCTTTGGCCCAGTTACACCCGAAGTGGTTCTCTAGGGACAGCAAGAAACCAGAAGCCGCCATTGGCTGTCTGCAGAGACTGGCACCTGTCACAGGAATGTTGAAGAAAGCATCATCCCTGGAGGAAGGGACCCATACGGATCCAGGCAGGCTGCCAGGATCCCAAATAAAATACCTCTGTGAACTTGCTGCAGGGGTGGAAGTCGAGGGCCACGCAGGAGCCAGGCTGTGTTACCGCTGACCCTCCCGTGGAGACAGCTGCGCTGTGGGTTCCAGCACTGCTGGGCTTCAGAGGAGTCAGGCGAGACGGACGTATGTGTTTATCCAGAGCGACTGGCTCCTCGCACTGGGCTTGCGCTGCTCCTTTGATCTCTCTGAAGTGGGCCAGGACAAAAGCCTAGCAGTCTTCGGATAAGCTGTGGGAGAAGTTGTAAGGGGAGGGGACCCTTCCTGGGTATAAGGTCACAGAAACAAAGAACCCCTGGTTCCCTCATTATAAGTGGGGTGGGGTTAGGGACTTGGGAAAGAGCAGGACCAACACAGAGACGGCTGATTTCTTCCCAGAGGTCTGAGTGCGGAAGTCCTTAGGTCCTGCCTGCCTGGTGGGGAGT